GCACCTTGAGAATTTCTTTTTCGGTTAGAACGCTCGAAATGAATACGCACTAAAAATGTAGACACTAGACCCATACTAGAAGCTGTGGAGCGTCAGCTTCTGAGGAGGCCGGTCCACGAACTCAGAGAGAAACGCTAGGAAAACTGAAAGGTAACCGCAGATGAAACTCGAATTAACTCAAGCAACTGAAATGGTGCTTTGCTGAGGATTCTGCGAGGAGAAGAAAAAGCCGACGAACAACACTGAGATGAGGTATAGTGCCTCGCCTTGAGTCAAAGGCTTTACAAATAACTGAGTTTTTGGAGCGAAGATATAACCTTTGTAAAAAACAAATGACGAACAGCAGATGAGGTATTGTGCCTCGATGTGACTCGAAGGCTTTACACATCACCGAGTTCTTGGAGTGAAGGCATAACCCTTGTAAAAAAACAAATGACCACAACTGAAGATAAGTGGTGCATTTCTTTCATTCTTTTGTCTCATGTCATTTTGTGGTTTCTGTTATGGTTATGCTTTGATTTTCTTGAAACGACCACATTGATAATACAATAAAGCTTTCGGCGACGTGTTGATTTTTGTCTCATGTGCGGTTTTGCTTTTTATGAAACAATTCTTGAAAAATAGAGACATTAGTTGGGGATTTAAATCTATTTTGAAAATTCTTTTGGATATCGTTAGTCTGTAACTGTTATGATATCGAGTTCACTCGATGCTGGTCTCAATGTGAAAAACCTGTTTATTTCCGTGGACAAGTGTGGAAACGATCGAGAACAAAGCACAATTACAAAGAAACAGATGGCATATTTATCTAAAAGAAATAAGGAAAATTTAATTTTTTCCGCCGTTTATTTGCTTGTGACAAGATAAACATCCTAAAGTATGTGATTACTGTGAGTAATCACTAAGTTTCCTAACATACCACCTCGAATCGTGTACACCTGGAGTATTTTTCATATAGCGAAGTGGTGTACAGCCGTGCGTATATGATGTGCGCTATTTCACTTCAGCTGCAAACTTGAAGTTCCCGGTCGTTTTTTGTAGTCTTCAGGCAG